TCACTTGGTAGTCCAGGCTGGCCTCGAACTCACAGAGATCCGCCTGGCTCTGCCTCCCGAGTGCTGGGATTAAAGGCGTGCGCCACCACCGCCCGGCCCAACTCTGTTTTTTAATCACCCCGTATATCATTTTGCACATAATAGGTTGCTATAACTTTTTGATGGTCTCTTAAAGAGAGGAAAGAAAAAACTGGCGTTTCCCACCCCAGCCATGACCCCAGCCCTACCCTTCCTTACCCTGGCCACCTGGAGTGGCGTCTAAAATAGATTTTGCTCCATTTGATTGCTTCAACGTTTATTTGGTTTGAAATTTTCTCTAAAATCTTAATTTTAAAAGGTCATCAGCAGGCCAACTGTTTAAATATCTTAAATATCTTCATGGGCAGTACACAGAGTGAGTCGAATTACCTATTCACTCGGGAGTCCTCCCATTCCTTCCGCATTTCGCTCCTCCCTCCCCCGCCCCCTTTTATTGTTCACACTCATTTTATCCCTTTGGCAAGAAAAGCTAAAAGAGACTGGGGGGGGGGGGGGGGTCGGGGAATACAGCTGATTAAGGCAGATGAATGAGCATGGGGGACTATCTTCCTAAGCCCGATCAAGTCCACGAAACAGATCAATTCCCTAGTCCAGGGACAGCCTGGCACCTGAAGTGTGACTGACTAAATCCCCATTTGTTTGTGCTTTCTGGATGAGACTTCGGATTCTAATGCAAAAAAAATAAAAATAAAAAAATATGACTGGCAAAGCGGAGGGAGTACATTTCTAAGAGCGTTCATATTTTCCTGAATTTTTTTCCCCTCCCTTAAAAGATCTCTCAGTTGATCATTTACACGGGGTGCCTGGCGTGGCAGCGTGGCGGGGGTGGGGGGGTGACAGTTCATCACATAATGAGTGAGAAGGGATTGAAGCTGGCCGGTCTCGCTCTATACTTTGCCCGCAGCAGACACACCCAGAACGGTGGCGTGGACACCTCCAAGGAGGTTCACCCTTGCTTTGGTTGCCACATCTGGGGTCCTTTTGGAGAGTGCAGGCACCTGCTATTCCTCTTGGAACAAAAAAAAAAATCCTTAGGAATCTATATCCTTCCCCCTTTTATCTTGGTGTCTGTCTGTCTGTCTGTCTGTCTGTCTGTCTGTCTGTCTGTCTGTCTGTCGTCGAGAGCCTGCCTTAGGGCCTGGCACCCTTTCAAAGGTGACATGCCCAGGATTTTGAGCAATACCCTTTTCAGATGAGAGAACAGGGTAGGATCTGTGGTTGATCCAGCCTGCAGGTGGAGATGAGACCCTTGGGCTTCTGGCAGGGGTAGCAGGGAAGCCCCCCAGCCCTGGGGACAGAGTATGAACGGAGTCCAGGGGCGGAGGGGGGGGAGGGGGGGTGTCGTCGCTAACCACCCGGCAGCACTCAGGGATTGGATCAACATTGGGTGGTGTACTGAAGTCTATGGGAGCTCATTGGCCAGAGAAGAGAAGATGTACAAATATAAGCAGAGTAGCAGAGAGCCAATAATAAGTGAAGCAAGTTTAAGATAGTATGGGAAATCATGCTGGAAAAGGGGGGGAAAGTGAGAAAAAAAGAGAAAGCAAGCCCGAATATCAAAGTACCTTGCTCCTCCGACCAGAACATGCAGTTGTCCTCTGAGATCAGCGGTTAGAGGTTTTTGACTTATCATCACTGGACGCCCCACAAAAGGAAACTGTCACAATTAGGGGGCTCTGCAGAGATGACAAAGGAAGCTGAGCTCCCCTACCCCTACCCCCACCCCCGACCCACCCACCCAGGTGCCTAATTTCAGGAGTGTTGCCCAGAAGAACCTGATTATGGCTCTTTCCCCATCAGCCTTTCCCCCACACGGGAAACCTGAGCCAAATCACTGAAGCAGGTCATAGACCAACAATCCCCCACGGGGCTGTAGACGATGCATCAGAAGAAAGGAAGGAACCAGATCACAGCAATTTGGAGGAATAAAGTGTGGGCTTTGCCGAGCAGGTCCGGTCACAGTCACACCCAGAACCCTTGAGCATTAGCATTAGCATCTGGGTTACACCGCATGCCAAGACATTCTGGAATACTACAAGGCCATTGCAGAGACTTAATGGGTGGGCGGGTTAGAGGTTCCGAGTTGCAGAATTTCCATCCACGTGGTTTCATATTATTTCTGTGAACTCAGTTCTCTGGTGCTTACTTCGTCATTTAATCATTAATTGCACACTTAGGATTTCTAGCCCCCCACCCACCCTTTTTTAAATTTCCCTCTTGTTCCATTTGCTTAGGATCGTCATTACCAGCAGAGCCATCCCCTGGGAGCATTTCAAAATGCAAACTCTCTAGTCCCACCTCAGACCTACCAAACACGAGACACTCTGGGGACTAAAGCAATCTGTTTCCGCAGTCCTCCGGTGATTCTGATATATGCTGAATTCTGAAAACCACTTGCCACGAATTAGGGTTCTCCTGGGCAGTAGAATCAGTGACAGCTCTCGGGAAAGGAATCAGGCCTGAAGGAGTTGCCAATGAGCGCTTTAGTATCTTTGCTGATTCTCCTCCGTAGTAAAGGTTGATGGTTGCCTTTGAAAATATCCAATCACAGAAGGGGGCAGGGCAGAAAGTATGGAGGAGCCAGGTGACAGGGAGACCGGCTGCAAAACCCTGTCTTCTGGGCATAACTCAGCCATTGCCTCTTGAACTCACACGCCCTGCAACTAGGCCAGCCAATAGTTCATTAAAGAGGAGGATTTCATAGACCCTACCTTTCCCTGAGGCAGAATTGGCTATTGAAGGATGCCAAGAGAAACAGTCATTGACCTTAGTTGGGTACCCACCAGTGAGCCTACCAGGCTCCAGGGGGCAGGTCTACTGATACCCCTTTTTAAACGCACTGCATCACAACACAAGAGCATGGGGAAGGGACTTGCAGGGAAGGGACTTGGTGGAGGTGGAGAGAAGTAAGAAGGGATGGAGGGGGGTGGAGAGGTGGTTCAGAGGTTAAGAGCACTGGCTGCTCTTCCAGAGGTCCTGAGTTCAATTCCCAGCAACCACATGGTGGTTCACAACCGTCTATAATAATACGTTCTGGTGCCCTCTTCTGGCCTGCAGTGCGGGCATACACACAGGCAGAATGCTGTATGCATAATAAATAAATAAATCTTTTAAAAAAAAAAAGAAGAAGAAGGTATGGAAGATAAAAGTAATCAGAATGTATTATATATTCCTATGAAGTCGCCAAAGAATAAATTTATATGTGTGTGTACATATATATATATGTACATATATATATTCATTATTCTAGTTTTCCCTCTCTCAAAGGTAACTTGAATTTTTTTCTTTTTTTTTTCTTTTTCTTTTTTTTTTTTTTTTTTTTTTTTTTTTTTT